ATTAATTTTTTTCGATTAATTACACGAAAATTGGAGCAAAAACTATGAAAAACGAAGGAAAACGGAGAAAAATCCCAAAATAAAATTTCCCAGTGATGACGTCATCAGTCCATGGCCGTGGCCGAGCTGCGGGGTTTTCTCTTCCATGGGAAATTTCGCAAAATTCACAGCTTTTCGCAAATCCCATTTTTCTCTATTTTCCTTCATTTTTCATAGTTTTTGCTCAAATTTTCGTGGTAATTAATCGAAAAAAATGAATTTAATAGTTTTTGTAGTGTTTTATTGCCCAGTTCGAACAATTTTCGAAAGAAAATAGCTCATTTTGGGCCAATTTTTGGGATTTTTGAATTTTTGTGGGAAAATCACTGAATTGTGATTGTTTCCTTCATTCAATAATTTAGAAAATTATAAAAAAATGAGAACATTTCAATTACCACGAAACTTGAGGAAAATTGAAAAATTGGGAAAACTTGAGAAAAATTGAAAATTTGGGAAAAATTGAGAAAAATTGGGAAAAACGGAAAATTTGGCTAAAAAAATTGGGCAAAAACGAAGGAATATTGAAAGCAAAAGGAAATGAAATAGAATTGAGAAAAAACAATTAAGAAAAATTGGTAGTGAGGGAAGTATGGACTGGGGTTTAAAACCTAAATTAAACATTAAAATCCTGAGTTTGTGAAATTTGTGAAGATTATTTTACAGTTCTCTATTGTGTACGTTCTAGAAATTTCGAGACTCAAAAATTCAAAACAACTAATGCCTTTCAGCAAATGCCCAACAATTTCCACAATTTTTTTTTCATAAAGAGTGAAATATATGACACAAAATCAAAAAGAACAATCAAAAGACAATGAGAAGTGAAAATTTTCTGCCGTAGTTTTTGAAAATTCAGAAATATTGAGATTCTGAAGTTCTGACATTCTGAGGTTTTGAGGCCCTGAAATTCTGAAATTTTGAAGTTCTGAAATTCTGAGATTCTGAAATTCGGAAGTTCTCAGATTTTCAGCTTCTGAAGTTCCGAAATTCTCAGATTCCGAAATACTGAAATTCCAAAGCTCTGAAATTCTAAGAATTCTGAGATTTTCAAGCTCTGGAATGCAGGAATTCAGAAACTCCTTCAAAAAATTGTACCCCCGAATCACAAGCGTTGTACCCCTGCTTGAAATGGGTTGTACTCCAGAATCATTGGTAGTTTTCACCCCCAAATTTTTGAACCTACTAATTTTGTACCCCCGAATCACCAATTTTGTACCCCTAAATCAGTTGTACCCCCTTGTACCCCCCAAATTTTTTGCCAACTATAGGATTAGGCCGAAAGCCTTGTTTCTTTTGGTAGTATGGGAGACTCTGTGGTAAGAAGTAGTATAAGAGACCTTGGTAGTAAAAGAGACTTGGTAGTATGAGAGACACATTGAAAAAAAGTAGTATAAGAGACAGTGGTAGTAAAAGAGACTCGGTAGTATAAGAGAAAAGTAGTATAAGAGATGGTTGTATAAGAGAATTTGCCGAAATCTCCGAATATCTTGCAATAGGCAATTTTTCTTCAATCAGCCAAATGTTTCTGAATTATGAATGAGAAGAAATAATGTTGGACAGTTATCTCTGTTCCAAACCACATCAAAAGCGAAATTACATTCTTGAATAACTACATGGAAAACAAAAAAAACCACTCATAATATGTAACGAATGTTGGAAAAATCAGGCAGCTATGAGCGCTGAAACTGTAGAATCCGACTTGATGTTTACCACATGAGATTCAATGCGATGTACCCTCTGAGACAATGCGATGTACCCCCTGAGTATTTCAGAGATGTACCCCATGAGAAAGCGAAAAATGTACCCCATGAGATTATACCTAAAATGTACCCCATGAGACTATGTACCCTCTGAGACTTTGTACCCCATGAGCACGATGTACCCCATTCTGATGTACCCCGGGAGAATGGGCCAGCAAACATTTTATCAGTTCACAGATTTTCGTTACCTCTAATAGAAATTGAGATAAGTGAGCTGAAAGAGCATGTATAAAAAGGCCTCCTATTATAGTGTTTACGGTAATTTGTATTATATCTACAAACTTTTTTATAACGACATGATATTTTGTTTTATTGTTAGTTTTTTTTTCCAATTGAAGGTTAATTTTTATGAAATAAATATACATGAAATAAATAAAAAACCCTACTGAAGGTGATGACATTTTTAAAGAGATTTCTTGAAGTTTCAGTCAGCTTTCGAAAGTCAAAAACCTGAATCCCTATGAATTTTTTTGAAGACGACTAGAAAGCTCGACAACACTTTTATTAACTTTAAAACGTTTCAAAAACTTGAAATCTTTGATAGAGAACATGAGAAATGAGTTACATTTTGAAAATGGACACATGGGTTTCAAAATTGATAGCGAAAAAAATAAAACCGGGGAAGAAAACGTAGAAATTATGGAATAAAATGAAGAAACATTTGGACCATTTTATAACAATTCTCATGGCATGTAGCGGTCTGAAAATATACCAGAAATATTTCAGATTCTCAAATTTCAAATCTCACTTTGCGAATGCATCTCCTGTAACTGTGCATGGAGCCAGACAATTTGTGCCTGAAGATTCTGAATCGTGGTTCTTGAAATCTCGCTGTTCTGGATTTCCATGTGCAAATAGTCCTCGATTCGATCCTTGGCGGTTTCTGGAAATCAAATTTTGGAATCTAAAAATTTAGTGTTGCTTACTAACCAACTTCCGCTTTCTCCTCGACCAGCTTTTCAATGGTGTTCTGAAGAATGAACGCTTGCTCTTGGAGTTGGCGGTTTTGTTCTGAAAATTTGAATTTTTATTTCAGACGCATTTTGAAGTCACTTTTCATATCCTAAACAAGTTTGCGAAAATTTCTAAATATTTCCAAAATGTTACCTTTAAGTTCGTTCATTGTGACTTCTGGATTCTGGTTTTCCTGATGAGCATCGTTGATCACAAAATTCTGGAGCTGACGTTCAAGGACTTCCACTGGAAAAATTCCAGAATTTTTTTTGAAGAAAATTGAACTATCTTAAAACATTTAATAGAAGAGCTTCCATACTGTCAACTTTGAAATGCCTCGCATAGGAACCGAGATAAATCCGCTCAAAGTTAATAGGTCGGCAGCCAACAGCCTAGCTCAGCCGGCAAGCTTGTCCACTTCGAGCCAAATTTATCTCGTTTTCTGTGGAAGATATGGAAACTTTGTCAACTGATAAAATGTTGGCGATATTGTGATAAACAATATATCAGTTGACTACTTTTATATATCTCTGAAAGGGAGCGGAATAATTAAACTCAAGTTAAGCATGTGGTCTGGCCTTCTATTAGAGCTTTTACCGTAAACGTTTTAGCTAGAATTCAACTGAACATCAAAAAAACCATAAACTCACTTGGTGTCGACATTGTTGTTTTACCAATAGTTTGATTTTCTGAAAATTCGAAATAATATTAAAAGAGAAAAAAAAATTAATTTTAAAGTTTTTGCACCTTTTAGTTCATTAAAAGCTGAAAAAATGATACATCCTTTCAAAAAACAGCATGTAACTATTGGCAACGAGCCAAGAATTACTTGCCACACCTGCGCCTCTTGCACTTTTCCATATCACTCTCTTGCCTGGCTGCGCATTTTGAAAAAAAAAGAAACTAGAACATGTGAGTTAAGACAGAGCAGCGAGTTGTTATTTTTCTCACTCACACAATCAGAATAAAATGTATCAGACATGTATACACCTCTGGTTGTGAGAAGAAATTGTGGGTGGGTACAAAGAAAAAGAACAAAAAATATGATATGGAGATTGGTTTTTTTTTGATTAATCTTGGGTCGGGAGGTGTCGGAAAAAAAGTATTGGGTATAAAGTCTAAATTGGTACTTTGTCTGAAAAAGGGAATTTGAGGAAAATCAGGAATAGAGCTAGAGGAAGCTGTGAGAGTACCGTAGTACATCCTATACGTGCGCTTTGAGCTCAATTATCACGGTTTCTATAAAAGTAATAAAAAGTTGTCAACAAATAAAATGTTTATCATAATATCAGCAGTATTTCATCAGTTGACTACTTTTCGATATCTAGCATAACAATTGAGATAATTGAGCTCAAAGAGAGAGACATCTACAGTACTTCCATTGCTTTCAACTTTGAGCCAATTTTTTGTGGTCTCCTGTAAGAGATATCAAGAAGTGTGTAACTGATAAAATACTAGTGATACTATGGTAAACATTCTATCAGTTGACTAGGAATGAGATATCCGTGCTCGAAGTTAACGGTTTGGTTGATTTTCCAGGCCATCAAAGTTCAAAAGACCAATATTCCAAACACCCGGAAATCTAATAATTGCATTCCTAAACTTTCTAATCTACATAATAAATGAGTTGATGACTAGTTGCCACATAGGACACATTATAGTTCAGTTCCCTGTTTTTTTTTCATTTTTTCTAGAAAGTGCTACAGTAATCTGAAAATACCATAAAACAGTTAAATATTACGCTCTCAATTTTGAGCCTACATATCTCGGTTTCTGAGAAAGATATCAAAAAACTATCAACTGATAAAACGTTGCTGATATTGTGATAAACATTTTGTCAGTGGACACCGTTTTGATATCTTTCACAGGAACTGAGATAAATTGTCTCAAAGTTGAGTGGCATTCTATTAGTGTGTTCACGATATAGGTCACCTGAAAAATTCTGCAGGGTCCCTACTTATGAAATTTCGATACCCAATGTTTATTTTAGAATCTCCCTCTTCCTTTCCACAAATCATTACAAAAACGTTTGGAGCATTTTGGAGCCCACCACCACCTGCTCCTCCTCGACCTCTTGAGTTTCATTCGTAACGTTTTTCAATTTTTACAATTAAAAACATGACCCGCGACGTCCCCGACGCCAGCTGTGTTGTACTTTTCCACAGCTGCCAGTTTTTGGGTCATCTTCTTTTCACATGTTCCTCTATTTTTTGTCCTCCAGGTTTCATGACCTTAACTTTAATCACGGCCGGCCCGGCTCTGCTTCAAATAGCCTTATTCTCACCACACCATCAACGTTGACCCAAATTATCTCACTTCTTGTGAAAGATATCAAAAAGTTGTCAACTGACCTAAAATGCACCATAATATCAGCAGTCTTTTATCAGTCACAGTTTTTTGCTATCTATTACAGGAACCAAGATATTTAGAATCAAAGCACTAAATACAGTACTTCCCGGTTCATTAGACCAATCAGTCATAAAGCAAGCGTCATAGAAAGCGTCGGTGTAACGATCAGTAGTGATAAGGAGCTCAAATAACTCTTATCACTAGTAAGGGTGACCGCGGTTCTCGTATTCGGTCACTTAGAAATGACCCGCAGCGTCTGCTAACATCTGTTTCTTGTCTTACTAGTCGTTTCTTTCTTTTTCCCGTTCTAATCGAGCTAATTGAGATTTTTCCACTCATTGAATCCCTTAATACACAAGTTTGGCCTCTTATGAATGTTTTGAAGCATATGTGGAAAACCTGCTATCAAAGACAGTGTCAGTTTCAAATCAATTCGTTCGCCTGCAATTAAAAATTGATAATGACTATTTTTTTGGAACCTGCGTTTGACAAGCAACTTTCGACAGTGTTTGGAGCATACAAATTTTAGCCGGATTCATTTAGAGCATCTCTGCATAGTCAGAAAGCTATATCCCATTGGATAGTACAAAAATTAACTAATCCTACTGTGAAATTCGAATTCAAAAGTTCATTAGACACTAGAAGAACATAAACCTAGCCTTTTCAGAATTCTATAAATCTGAAAATCAGAATCCAAGACTCTAGAAATTCTAGAAATCCAGAAATTCCAGATTTACACCTTTTTTGACTCGGCCCTAAATCGCTATCCATACATACTGTAAAACCTGTGACAGAAGAGATTCCACGCTGCTAAGTTTGAGCCAATTTATCTATCGGCTCCTGTATTAGATATGAAAAAGTTATCAACTGATAAAATGTTTTTCATATTATCACCAGCATTTGATAAGTTCACAATTTTTATATCTTTGACAGGGACCGAGATAATTGAGCTCAAAGTTAAAGGGTCGGTAGCCAACAGACGGCAAGCACCCACTTTTCCATTTTGAGCCAAATCATCTCGGTTCCTGTAAAAGCTATAAAAAATTTAAACTAAAAAAATATTTATCATACTATCACCAATATTTTATCAGTTGACAACTATTTTATATCTTGACCAGGAACCGAGATAAATTGGCTCAAAGGTGAAAAATAGGAGGTCCTTATATAGCAGGTTACACGGAATCCAGGTTTAGTATCTTTTTCACCCGAACTGGTACCTTTCACACCTTAATCTAGTACCTTCCACACCCTGAATTCCTATCCGTATCAAATTTTTTTGCCCCATGAACTCCTCTGACAAGTTCCCTTGTTCCTCTTCTCCTCCGTTTTCTTCTCCGGCGCCCCGACACTTCCAGAATCCTCTCGTCGCTCCGCCGAGTCAACCAAACCATTCCTCTTCCGTCTCCACCCTCCGAACCCCATACTATTATCTAGTCCACATGAACTCTGTTTCTCTCTCCATGCTATGCTTGGCACTTTCTAGCCCCCTTCGCTTGTTTTCTACTCGGCGACGGGCACCAGCAAAAGAAATAGAAGATACGAAGCTAGAGAAGGAAATTAGAGACAAGGGGAAAGTGAGAGAGTGGTTAGAGAGGCGCAGAAATATTACATAGCGGTGTGACGGGGGGAGCGAGAGGGGTTGCTTGCAACGGGCCAGGAGGAGGGGGGTGAATTTTTGCGGCAAAGGAGGGCAGAAGGTGGTGCGGGAAGAAGAGTACGAGAAAAGTATGAACGTGTGGTCTTGTTGGAGAGGGAGGGATCCTCTTCTTCTTCTTCTTCTGGCGCGCCATGACACCCCGCTACCACACACAGAGCAATATAAGGGCGCCTCTCTCTGCATCTCTCTTGATTTTTGCAGTTGGGTACTCTCATTTCGTTCTCTATAGTCTTTGCTTCTTTTTCAATTAGAACAAAAAGTTTCGATTTAGGGATTGGGTCTGGGGTATTCTGAGATACATGGGCATTCTTGGGATTGGGGTCTGGAAAGGGGGCGGAGCCTAGGAGGCTACAATGAATCCTTTGGAGTCAAGTTTCAGATGGAGACGGACAGATTCTGGATAATCGAACTCTCAGCTCGACCTCATAAGTAATGGGTTTTAGGCTCATGGGTTCCTGAGTTTCTAGATTCTTGGATTCTTTGATTCTTGGATTCCTCAGTTCCTGGATTCCTGGGTACCTGGGTTCCTGGGTACCTGGGTTCCTGGGTTCCTGGGTTCCTGGGTTCCTGGGTTCCTGGGTTCCTGGATTCCTGGTTCCTGGATTCATGGATTCTTGGATTCTCGGATTTTAAGATTTCAGGACTTTTAGATTCTTGGATTCTTGGATTCTTGGATTCTTGGATTCTTGGATTCTTGGATTCTTGGATTCTTGAATTCTTGAATTCTTAGATTCTTGGATTTTTAGGTCCTTGGGTTCCTGGGTTCCTGAGTTTCCGGACTTTTCTAAATATCAAACATTTCCTTTTGTTTTGATTCAATTTTCAACTCTAATCAGTATCCATTCTAATCACTACTAGCCTGTCAATAAATCAACTGCCCAAATATCCCATTAAACATCTTTTCTTGTTCTCCCCCTTCCCTTCCCCCGTCCGCGCCCCTGAAATTTATATCTACCTAACCCCAAAAAATGTTCTATGTGTGTCTTTGTATTATCAAATTGCCAAGGAATTCACTCTCGATGTTTTTCACAGGAGAGATACCCATCTTTCTTCTCTTATCTATTGGTTTTTTTGACGACAAAATGCGGCAAAATCTGAAGGTCATAGGTTTTAGAAACCATCCGGTTTCGAAGAAAGTTCGAGATAAGAATCTAGGAATTCAGAAGTTGGCAAGTTTAAAATCGAATTCTCAAAAGTTCAGATTCGAACCTAAAAATCCCGATATTTCGAAATTCGAAACAGTGGAAAAACCAATCCTTGGGCTTAAAAAAATGCTATTTTTTGCCGGCTTTGAGCATTGATGATTTTAAAACAGAACTGCCCGAAGCAATTGTTTCCCTGTTCCTTATGAAATTCCCGTCATTTTAACCACAATATTGCCTATATTTGGCTAATTTTGATTTTCGACCATTTAGACCAAGGTTCAAATGCAAAATCAACCAAATATAGGCATTATGGGGTTCAAAATGTCAGAAAATTTATAAAGATTTTAAAATTCCCGTCATTTTAAACCCAATCTTGTTCGAATTTGGTTAAGCTTGATTTTCGACCATTTCGACCGCGGTCGAAATCCCAAATCGGCCAAACGTAGGCATTATGGAGTTCAAAACGGTAGAAATTTGTCGGAGATTTTGAGAATAGTTATCCCCACTGTTTTAATGAAATTTCGGCAAAGAAAAAGTCGGGTTTTTTCATCTCCCTCTACCGTAATCCCATTTCCCTGCTCTCTCATTTCCATACCCCACGTCATCCATCCATCCCTCGTCATTCAATTCTCGTTACCATCAATCTCCGCTCGCCAGCCCAATTTTCTAGACTTCAAGCAGAGCCACAGTATGTTACGGGGCGGAGCCAGAGCCACTTATTGAGCTCGGCAAGGGAAGAGGACGAGCCGTTTCGACCCCCCACCAGACTGCTAAGGCCACGTGTTCTTCTTGGCACTGTTCCAGAGAAGCTTTCAATAATCTCTGTGTTTCTTCCCTCTCGCCCGCTCCCAATTTTTTCTTTCTCGTTCAGTCTCCTTCGCCGCGGTACGGAACAATTTCATATATCTATCTGTCAATTTTTCTTTTCTCATTTTTTCTGTTCTTTCCCTTCATCTTGGGGTCATGCGTTGCCAGTCAACGATTTCCAATAGATTGTCTTTTTTCTTTTTTTTTTCTTTGATGCGCTTTTTAGTTTAAACAATTCAAGAACTTTCAGAAATCAATCTTAAAGTTTGTGTCTTAAAAATTCAACAATGAGCTTCCAAGCCAATTCGTCTACACCAATCGTTCAACCATTGCCAGCCAACGTCCAGAACCTTCGTCGAGCTGCTCCAAACCACCATCAGATGCAAGAGGACCAAACAGCCAACAAACGAGCTCGGATGCTGGATCCAATGGACCAACAAACTGAGATGGATGGATGGATCCATCAACAGCAGTCCCCCCAAAATCTCGGACAAGCTGGATCATCACCCTCCAATCACCAAGAAGGGGACATCCTAGCCTCCCAGCCAGCTCCCATGCTCATGGATCATGAGGAACAGCTCCATCCTGGCTTCTTCCAAGGTGAGCATTATATCTAGGGACTCAAATGGGGGGGGGGGGGGGGCTATTTTTCTGGGGCTTCAAGGGTATAGTCTTTTTTTCAAATTGGGTACGATTCCTCAAATTTTAGGGTCTATTCAGTTACATAATAAGCCCATATTTTCTCTATACAAAGTGTTCGAAATTCAATAAAGACATTATACATGACTATATGCCTTGTCTACGAAACGTGTTTGATGTTTGACCCATAGCCTATGGCCCGTAGGTTTAGTCTACATAACAAGAACACAAAAAAGGTGGGGAAACGTTCTGCATGTCTTTTGGCGTACAGACGAGACGCGCGAGATAGCCATCTTCATGCCAAGTGAGAAGTGTTGAAGTGTTAACGAGGGAGGGGGGGGGGCGAGGGGGTACGGTACAAACGCCAAAGATCAGTGTGAAATTGAGACTCTTAATTTGAGACGGATAGTGATTGTGAGAGAGTTGATGATATTGAAAATTGGCTTGTTTCAATGGGAAAAATCCTGTAATACTGCATACAGTAATGAGAAAAAATCTTACGCTTTTAGTTAGAAAAACTAATGCAACAAAATATGCATTTTCAGGACCATTGGTACCCACCGAGCTGCTTCTTCAAAACCAAGAGGCTGATCCAGAGGAACCTGAAGGCTGTCCCCGTTTTCGTTGCAAGAGTGAGTAGCATGAATGACTAGAATTACACCTAACCAAGTTCACTCTCAGAATTGGAGAGGACCGTAAATAGACTCCGCCAAGAAAGGAATGATTATAAAAATAAGTGTGAAAAATACAAGGATTACAAGAGAAAGTATAAGACTACTGTCGCTGAAAATGAAGAGTTGAAGGATTATAAGAAACAGTGTGAAGCTATGGCTGCTGAGATGAGGAAATTGAAGGAGGAGAACGAGAAACTGAAGAAAAATGGTAAGTGTTTCATAATATAAATTTATCATACAGTTTGTTTTCAGACTTTTGACTATTTTCAGAAGTCTAGAGCTCCGCTGTCAGTATTCCGATCTCTTTGAAAATATTGGAGGGAGATAAACAGACCCAGATAAAAAAAATACACGGTCACAGAGTTGTTTGAAAATTTCTTTTATTTTTGATTCTTGAAAGATACCCCTTTTTGGCCCGTTTTGTTCTGCAAACGTTTGAAAGCAGGTGTATTTCAGAAATCAGCAAACAAGGAATTTTCAAAAAATTATGTGAATGCAAAGTTTTCAATCTAGGTCTGTTTCACACCTTCCAGAATTTTCAGTGATTGGAAACTTGTCAGCCAAGCTCGAGACTCCTGAAAAAATCCAAAATCTGAAAAATTACATCTTATTTTTTATCTTATTACTGTATATTTCCTTGTTTTCCAGGTATTGCCGTCCTCAGCCCACTCACACCGGACAGCCTTGCCGAGCAGCAGCCTTCAACGTCTTCATCAGTTCCAGTGAGGACCATCAAAGAAGAACCCATCGATTACGAAGATTCGGAGCCTCTCCCGTCAGTGGATAAAACAGCTCAGTGGATCGAGTCCCTGCTCCAAGACGAGGATTTCCAAATGATTCGGAATCCGAACGCCCTGCATGTAATTCCGGAGGATGGTTTCAAAGACCGCAAAGATGCATTAATTTTTTTGATGAGTAATACACCGGAGTCTTATCAGTTTGAAAACAATAATGGTAAGTTTTTATTTGGTTCTATAAACATCGATGAAAGCCTTTGAAGATTTCAAAAATTATGTTTTCAACCAGGACAATTATAAGATAGTCCCTCAAGACGTCCCAAGATTGAGGAGGGTGGACTTTTTCTATAAATCGATTAAAAAGGACGGCGAGTTGCTTTTTTTTTTCCATTTCTCTGTATTTTGATATATTTTGGTTCTGGTGAAAAATACCAAAGGGTTGTCAACAAACAAAATGTTTATCATTTCATTAAAAGTATTTTTTAGTTGAACACTTTTCCATATTTTCACAGAAAATGAGATATATGGGTTCAATTATTCTATTTCTCTTATAGAAGCCCACCCAATGTTGAGCTCAATTCTGAGCTCAATCTCGGTTCCTATCAAAGATGTGAAGAAATAGTTAACTAACAAAAACTTCATCATATCATCAAAAACATTTTATAAGCTTATCACTTTTTGACATCTCTTACAGGAACCGAGATAATTGAGCTCCATTTGTTCTTGTAAGGCGGGTTCCTATTCGAAGACCTCTGCTTCCTTTGATCCAATTTGGGTTTCTAAATTCTAAAAAATACCAGGTTCCACCTGGAAGTCCCTGAACAAGACTGAGAAGCAACAATGGAAGGACTCTATTAAAAAGTTGGCGGCCATGAGGGACGAACAAGTGAAAGTTGGCTTGATAAAGATATTGAATGTCGATTCGTAAGTTTTTACTCTTTTTTCTTCCTTAAAAAATATTCGTTTTCCAGAATCGTTCCAACTTCGCTGCCTCAACTCTTGCCTGTCCAGCAATAATCTCCTAATATTCCTTATATTCTTCTTCATATATTTCATCTTGTCCCGTTCCTCCTCTTTCTCCCCATTCCTCGCCACCGGCCCAGTGTCCAAGGGTACATCGAAAAAGGGTACATCGAGTTCTTAGGGTACATTGGATTGTTCGGTACATGTAGGTGGACAAAAAAAGTCAATCAATATTTTATACA